ATATATATATATATATATATATATATATGTGTGTGTGTGTGTGTGTGTGTGTGTAGGAAGTGTTTTTAATGACATAAGAAATGTTTATGACATATTTATTTAGAAAAGAAGGATGATCCATTGTGTAATTTTGAATACATAGGAAAAACATAAGAACATACAACAAAATGATAATTATGGTATTATTTTTCAACTTCCTTATTTTCTATACTTTAAACTTTTTCAAAAGTGAGAATACATTATTTTTATTTAAAAAAATTATTGGAGTATAGTTGATTTACAATGTTGTGTTCGTTTCAAGTGTACAGCATAGTGAATCAGTTATACATATACATGTATCCACTCTTTTTCTTTTTTTTTTTGCAGTACGCGGGCCTCTCACTGTTGTGGCCTCTCCCGTTGCAGAGTACAGGCTCCAGACGCGCAGGCTCAGCGGCCATGGCTCACGGGCCCAGACGCTCCACGGCATGTGGGATCTTCCGGGACCGGGGCACGAACCCATGTGCCCTGCATCGGCAGGCGGACTCTCAACCACTGCGCCACCAGGGAAGCCCTATCCACTCTTTTTTAGATTCTTTTCCCATATAGGTCATTACAGAGTATTGAGTGGAGTTCCCTGTGCTATACAGCAGGTTCTTACTAGTTATCTATTTTATATATAGTAGTGTGTATATGTCAGTCCTGATCTCCCAATGTATCCCTCCCTCCCCCCTTCCCCCTTGGTAACCATAAGTTTTGTTTTCTACAACTGTGACTCTATTTGTTTTGTAAATAAATTCATTTGTACCCTTTTTAAAGATTTCATATATAAGCGATATCTTATGATATTTCTCTTTCTCTGTCTGACTTCACTCAGTATGACAATGTCTAGATCCATCCATGTTGCTACAAATGGCATTATTTCATTCTTTTTTATGGCCATTATTTTTAGAATCAGAAATCTAAAATACACACACGGGATTAATTTTCTTGTAATTTCATTGTCCTCAACTTACCATGATGTTGTCTTCGACTTCTGCTCTTATATATGGTCCCAAGAGTCCCAAATGTTCATTTAGTTCTCCGCGGTATAAGGGCTGAGTAAAGGAGCCATCAGCATATTCCTCAAATACCACCTTTTTGAACTGAGGGACACCTCCATTCTCAGCTCTGGAGAAAAAAGCAGAGGAAAAGCAATATCCTCATGGACCAGGTGGGTAGAAATGCCTCACATTGTTGTGTTCCCTGTATTTGAGATACATTTGGTAGAATTGATGATGAATTGGAAATGTAATGGAGAAGGGAGGGAGAAAGAGGGATTAGAGATAACCTCCCGGTTTCTGATTTGGGCAAATGGATGGATGGTGATGCAGTTCACTGAGATGGAGAACCCTATAAGGGTAGGTTGCTGTATACAGTTTTGGACACATGGGGTATCTATGGGAATTATATTGGGAAATACATGGAGACTGGGAGTTCACAAAAGAGGTCTACATGAAGATTATCTATATTTAGACGGTAACAAAATCATGGAAGTGGCTTATCAAAGCCAATAGTCAATTTTATGTCCTCATCTTACTCAACATGTAAGCAACATTTTGCATAGTTAACCACTCCATCCTCCTTGACATACTCTCTCCAGGCTTCTCTAGTATATAAGATCCATGAAAGCAGCGGGATTTGTCTGTTTTGTCCACTGTTGTACTCCCAGCAGCTGGAACAAGTGCCTGCCACATAGTAGGTGCTCAAAAAAGATTTGTTGAACATTGAATGGATGTAGGGTTTATAAACATACTCTAAATATGAGAGCCTCAGTGTTCAGTCCTTGGACCACTTTTCTTTGCTTTTTAAAAATTCTGTAAAAACTGTGAACTAAAACTATACAATAAAGTGCATAAAACATAAATGCTTTTGACACAAAAAATGCAACCACCACTAAGATCAAGAACTTTGCCAGCAGCCCAGAAGACTCACTGTTATCTGCCTTTTCAATCACATCCTCTCCCTTCCCACTAAGTGTAACCCCCATTCTGATGTTTATAATTATTTATTTGATTTTGTTCATAACCGTACCACTTATGTATACATACCTAAAGAATATAGCTTAGTTTTGCCTATTTTTGAAGTATGCAAATGGAACCATACTGCATACATTCTTTTGTTTGTGATATTTTTTACTCAGCATTATGGTTGTGATTCGTCTATGTTGTTGTGTGTAGCTATAGTTTGTTCATTCCTATTGCTGTATAGTATTCCATTGTGTGAATATAATGCAATCATGTGCATTTGAGTAATTTTTGGTGCTTATACATAGTCCTGCTATGAACCTTCCTATGAATTTCTGCTGGGCACATCTAGGAGTGGAACTGCACCATTTTCCATTTTCATCAGCAATGTATGAGAGTTCCATTTGCTCCAAATCTTCACAAACACTTGACATTGACTGTGTTTTTACATTTTTGGCCATTCTAGTGGTTGCATAGCAGTGTCTCTGTGGTTTTATTTTGCATTTCCCTGATTAATAATGAGGTTAATTTCTTATGGGTAGTAGCCATTTGGATTTCCTCTTGTGGAATTGCCTATCCAAGTTTGTTTCCTTCTTTTTTGTACCAATTTTTCTATTGGATAATCAGCCTTTTTTTCTTATTGATTCAAAGGAGTACTCTATACATTCTTGATATGAGTCTTCGTTGGCCTTTTGTGCTGCAAACATCTTCCCTTCTGTGGCTATTTTTTCATTCTCTTTTTGTTATCTTTGGATGAGCATAAAGTCATAATTTTAATGTAGTGAAATTTATTTAAAAATTCTTCATGGTTAGTGCTTTTTGTATCTTGATATCAATTCTCTTTCTTTTCCTACCCTGAAGTTATTAAGATATTCTTTTACTTTTTTTCTTTCTAAGAGATTTAAGGTTTTATATTTATGTTTAGACTTGTAACCCACTGTTAGTGGATTTTTGTGTATAGTGCGAGTTAGGGATCCAGTTTAATGTATTTCCATATGGATATCAAAAAATTTCAGCACATTTATTGAAAACTGCTCTTCTGTGACACCTTTTCCATAAATCAAATGCCTATAAATGTGTGAGTCTAGTTTTGGATTTTCTGTTCTCTTTCACTGACCTATTTGTTTACTCCTAAGCCAATTATCACATTACTATAGCTTTAAAATAAGTCTCAATGTGTTATACAGCAATTCCTCCTATCTTGTTCCTTTTCCTCAAGAGGGTCTTGGCTATTCTTGGTGCTTTGCATTTTCTTAGTAACTTTAAAATCAGGCTTGTTGAGTTCTGCAAGAGAAAATACTTGTTGAGATTTTCACATAGGTTGTGCCGAATCTATAGATCGGTTTGGGGATAGTTTACATTTTCACAATATCGCATTTTCCAGTACATGTACATGGTATATCTTGGCATCTACTTAGGTCTTCTTTAAAGTTTCCCAATAAATTTCCATAGGTTTTTCCATAGAGGTCTTGAAAAATTTTTGTCATACTTATTTCTACGTACTTGTTACTATTTCATTCCATTGTAAATGACATGTTCTTTTAATTTCATTTTCTATCTGTCTGCTGCTACTATATCGATATACAATAGATTTTGTATATTGATTTTCAATTCTACAAACCTGCTAACCTTCCTAGTTAATTCTAATCACTTATTTGTAAACATTTTTTATATGTATAAAATCATATCATCCGTACTCAAGGACAGTTTTCTTTCTTTCTTTTCAACCTTTATACCTTTTATATGTGTTTACTGCTTGAGGGTTCAGTACAGTATTGAACAGAAGTGATGATAATGATTGAGAATTTATCTATTTCTCTATTTAAGTCTGTCAAGTTTTGCTTTATGTATTTTAAGACTATATTATTAGGTTCATAGTAGTTTAGGAATGTATGGCTGCCTATTGAATTGACTGTTTTATTATTATAACATTTCCTCCTTATCTCTACAAACCTCTTGCTTTAAAGTTTCCTTTCTACTTAACTGAGTACTTAGATTTTTAAAAAATATTTATTTATTTATTTGGTTGCACTGGGTCTTAGTTGCAGTTCGCTGGCTCCTTAGTTGCGGCATGTGGACTCCTTAGTTGTGGTTTCTTGCTTATTTTTCTTGTTTTATTTCATACCCAGTATCTTTGTGTGCTAGAAGTTGTATCTGGAATATTTGTGAAAATAACTTGAGGCCTAGAATGTTGGTTTCTTATACTAGAGAGGTTTTATGTATTCTTCAGCCAAGATGTCTGCAGGCACTGCCAATCCAAGACATGCTTAAATTTTGATCAAGAATAGAGATTTCATGGACAACACAGATGACAGAAAACTGGGCTGTAAGTCAACGAAGTGCAAGTTAACTGGTTTACCATTACTTTGAGGATGTAGCCCTTTGGGGACCTAGCATAAAGTGGGCACGGTTTACATCTACTTTTACTCCCTTATCATCCCATCAAGTCTTATTTGAATGCTATTAATAAGCTCATAACTCCTAAATTTATATCTTTAGCACAGACCTCTTCCTTGGATTCCAGACTCATATATCTAACTGCCTACTCAACATCTCAACTTGGGGACTTCCCTGGTGGTCCAGTGGTAAAGAATCCACCTTCCAATGCAGGGGACGTGGGTTCGATCCCTGGTCGGGGAACTAAGATCCCACATGCCACGGGGCAACTAAGCCCATGTGCCACAACTACTGAGCTCGCAAGCCTCAACTAGAGACCCCATGTGCCACAAACTACAGAGCCCACGTGCCCTGGAGCCAGCATGCCACAACTAGAGAGAAGCCCGCACGCCACAACGAAGAGCTCATGCGCTGCAATGAAAAGATCCTGCATGCCTCAATGAAGATCCCTCGTGCCGCAACTAAGACCCAATGCAGCCAAAAAAATTAAAAGAAATTTTTAAAAAACACAACTTGGATCTCTAATAGGCATCTCAAATTAAATATGTACAAAACAGACCCTTGAGTGTTTCCTCAAATAAATCTGTTCTGCTTCAAGCCTTCCACATCTCATTAAATGTCACTATCATCCACCTAGTTGCTCAGGACAAAACCCGAAAATCTTCTTTGAGTCTTCTCTCACCATTCCTCTCCATACTCAATCTAACAGCAAGCCCTCTCTGCTTATCTTTAAATTATAATCAACATCCTTACATTCCTTTTGATTTTTACCACCACTACCCTGTTCTAATCAATAGCTTGATCAGTGCTGGTGAGACTAATCTGGTGGAGAGTGAGAAACTGATGATGTAAGAGAGAACAAGGGACTTGCTGAAGCAACATTTTTTATGAAGGGAGAAAGGATGGGATCAAGTGCAAAACTGGACAGTATATTGGTACAGATGTCAGTAAATGTGGTGTTGGAAGTCTGTGGAGTTCAGTGCAAAGCATCAGCTAGGAGTGAGAAGGGGTGTTGGAGAATGGGCAAAACGTGTTGGAGACTTAGGGAAAAAGCAGAAAATGTAAGATAGAGGTCCAGGAGAGCAGGAAATATTCTACGGTTGCTGTGCAGCAATAAGGGCTCATTTGAGGTAGAAAGCAAGGCTGGGAAGTGACAATGACTAATGAAGAGGGATAGCATCTACCCTTCCTCTAGGTCCTATATTATCTGACCACTGCTCATCTCTGCCACCTCATCTCCCTACCCCTGCACACACTTCCTTACTGTACTACATTCATGTTGGTCCTTTTTTGTTCCTCAAACATGCTAAACTTGTTTCATTCTCAGGGCCTTTGCATTTCCTGTTCCCTCTACTGGAAATGTCTTCTCTCAGACCTCTGTTAGCTGACCTCTTATCATCATTTAGGTCTCAACTCCACAAAGAGAATTTCTCTGACCGTTACAGCTAAAGTAACACCCCCGTCACTCTACCATATTATTCAAGTCTACCTTTTGAACGGCACCAAGATTCCCCTATTTAGTTTTCTACTAATTTATTGTCCCTTGCTCTCCCAGGTAGAATGTAGGCTCCTACTTTGCTGCACTCCAGTGTCTATGCAAGTGTCTGGCATATAATAGGTGCTCAATAAATATTGGTTGACTGATTGACTCTCCTTATGTTTATCTTCCAAATGTCTCTGTGCTTTCTCTCCCCTGCCCAACCTCCCTCTGCTCCCCTAACAATCAAATCCTCCCACTTTGCCCTCTGGATCCCCAGTACTATGGAAAACAACTTTCCCTGCATCCTCAATCTCTTTACCACACACTTCACTGCTTCCTCCTGCCTCTATCAGGGCTCTCTCAGGAGACTAAACCTTACCCTGCAGCTCATAGGGCTGATAGGTGAGGCTGACTTTCTTCCTGCTCCCCATGGCTGTTTCTGACCCCCTACCCTTTTGTAGACCCCTCTTCTTCACCATCCCACCAGAGTGAGTTTCATGCCATCTGGGTTTACCATCCCGTAACTCTCATTGTTAGTGTCATCATCTAATCTCCCATTTGCTCCTCAGCTTCATCTAGACTTTGCCATCTGGTTCTCAGTTTCCTCAATCTTTGGAGTCTCACTGCTGGTTGTGCCTTTCCTATTGTTTCAGCACCTGGTAAAATCAAAGGTCACAACAGTAGGACAAAGGAATAATCAATGTACCCATACCTGTTTCTTAGTGCATGGGGGGATCTATTCATCCCATAATCCCAGAGCCGCTCCACTGCAGCAATAAAATAGTGTCGCGTTCTCTTTTGAAAGCTGCGGGGGTCCTGATTTTCACCCTCATCATAAATGTCAAAATCTTCTCTCTTCGTATCAAGTGAGAAAGTATCATCATAGTCACTTTTGTCTTCCTCTGGCTGAAAAGTAGGAAGGGTTATTTCCCTTTGATGGCGTTTCAAGACTGTTGGATTTTGAGACCACAACCTTCCAGTCCCTCCTTGCTTTACCCAGGTGGCTTCTCTTTGGGTCTTATCTTGTACTTCATTTATTGCTGCTATTGAATGATTGTTTTCACAAGGGTCCAGGGGCAAAATGATGTCTTTTGTCTTAAAAGCTCTGTGTTTTTGTGACTTCTCTAGGGATTTCTCTTCTCTTGGTATCAGGGTAGCATATTGGTTATCCCAAGCAAGGGGACCCAGCAGCTTGGGGGGAGTATTTTCAGAGCTTTCTGTTGCCCATTTCAGAAAGGACACTTTTCCAGGTCTATTTACTTTATTCAGTTTAACAAGTCCCTGTGTTTTCTGAAGGAATATCTCTTCCCTGAGATCCAGGTGGGCAGGAGAACCATTGCTAGTTTTTGTATGGAAAAAGTCTTCCTGATGAACAACTTTGCCAGATGCTTCAGGCAATCCTGGTTTCAAGAGAACAGTGTTCTCAAGTTTCTTGTACATGAGTAAGTTTGTGGCCCGCTTCCCTAGGGCGCTGATATTTCTTTGACCTCCAATTACTTCCAAGGTTAGGAAGGCTAAAGAAAGGTTATTTCTCTTGGCTCCTTGTAAGAAATGACTGCTTTCTTGGACCCCAGAACTCCTTTCCACAAAGCTATAACTACAGGCGGATGCTGGAGGATGAGAAGAGTTGTCTTGGGATGGAATCTTGGTCACATCTGTAGGTCTAATTGATGGGAATACTGATACCTGTGCAATGGGTAATGCAGAGCCATTTGTTTGAATGTCATGACTCCTCATAGAACAATCTGATAAGAATGACTGAATAATGGCCCTTTTCTCCTTCCTGTTGTACTCTATCTGTGTGACGGTGCCCTGGGTCAAATATTTCATGTTTTTGGACCACTGAGTTGAGGTGTCATTCAAAGTTACCCCCCTTTCAAGCTTTGTTTCTTCCAGTGGGAGTCTGAATGGTTTCAAATCCCGCTCATCACGCTGAGGCATAGCCTCCTGCTGGCTTGGAATAGGAGACATCTTCGTGGTGCTTGGGTATTTACCTAGTGTTTTCTTTGTTTGATTTCCCAAGTCTTCCAAGTTTGCTTCCTCCCTTCTTTTTGAGAAATGGGCCATGTGAATCCCTGCTCTTTTTGCTGAGCCATTCAATGACCTGGTGTCTTGAAGTACTGGAGAATATGTCTCCTCATCTAAACCTTCTACATTTTGCTTAGTGCTTAGTGAAAAAAGGTTCTTCAGAAAATTCTTAGTTCCAGTCACTGTATACACCTGAGGCAAAACTACATTCTCTTGGATTAATTTTTCTTTCCTTTCTATCTCTTCCTGAGACTTTTTTTCTTGACTCTGTGTATCATTTTCTTGGACATTAGCCAAGTTAGTAAGAAATACGTTCTTGCTATTTGGAAAAATCATCGCTTTAAGACCTGTGCCCTTGCTAAATTCATCCTCTCCTACTACCACCTTATTCTTCTCTGACAAGAAATTCTGATCTTTCACAGATTTTTCTGATCCCGAAGATGTTAATTGCTTTGGATTGGGCCTTTGCCCAGAACTTAAGGAGTTCTTGCCATGGGTCCTTTTTATCCAATTTGTTGAATCTGGCAAGAACAGAGTCTTGAAGAACGATGTATCTGGATATTCTGCATCTAGTGGCACAGAGCCTTCTTTGTTTTGGTGGATCATTTCCATATTTTTTGACGAATTAGTTTTATTTGACACATGATTTAGTCCCAAAGCTGTAGTATTTTTGTCCATAAACATTTCATCATGAATTAAGGAAGTTACTTCTTGAAACTCAGTATTACTTTCTAACATAATATCTTGCAAGACTGATGTACTATTATCAATTAATAATGCTGGGTCATCAATGTGAGTCTTTGTATTAGTTGTTGAGTTAACTGGTGCCTTGTTTGTCTTTACTAAAGAGATATTAACTTGAAATAAAGCATCATCTTTGGTCAATGAAGCAGGTCCACGAACTCTTTCCTCTTTAAATAACCTATCACTCTCCACTGATAATACATTTTCTCCCAGTGAACTTTCTTGACTATTTGTTAAAACTGCTTCTAATGACTTGGAATCATTATCTTCTTTACTCAAGCCCAAAGGTACACCAGACCCAATAAAGTGAGATGAATTTTTGCCAAATACATTGGCACCTAATTGACTACTAAAATTAACTGGCATATTTGGGGGTCCTAAGGAACCTGTCTTTTCAGTACCTGCTGACAACTTGTCTGATGGAATTGTTGGTGGAGTCATTAGGTTGTTCGATGAACTAGAAATTTTAAAATCAAGTTTCTTCAACTCTACTGTTGTTATAGTTGTCCCCAAATTCTCATTCAATCTTAACGGCAGCTCTGGCTCAGGCGTAGATACTCTTTTCCCACTGTGATGGAGCTCTGGTGTGAGATGTGCCACTTCAGACGGGCGCTTGTTTCTTTCTATTGCTCTAGGTAAATGATCATTAGACTTATTTCTGGCTTCTTGGAGATCAGATAAGGATAATCCATGTGGAGTAGGATTCTGTCCCAAGAGCACCAGCAAATCACTAGAGGAGACACTTTGTTCTTTAAGCAGCTGCATTCTCTCTCCAGACTGAGGGTCAGTCTTCTCCACATCATTTTCTGGAGTTGTGGTGGCTTTGAATTGCATTTGCCTAGTGCTAGGGTGCCTTGAATTCTGGGAGAAGCTTCTGGGTTCAATGACATTGTTTTCATTCAGCAAGAAGGTTGGAATATCTTCATATGTGTCCTCATAATAATCACCAGTGTTCCTGTCACAACTATAAACCTTCAGTAAGGCTGTCATGCCTCTGTTCCGAAAGTCTGAGTTGTGGCACCCCAGAACCCACAGACCTGGAGATGAGGAAGAATAAGACTCTGGTTACTCATAACCCAGGTCCCAAGCAAGATCTGTGTTAGAGGTTCTCTTCTATTCCCAGATAAATGAAAAAATACTACTCAGTACCATTATATAGTAGGTTGTTAGGTTAAGTCCCTGACACATGGAACAGTAGTACAACAATGGTAGTAAAAGTGGTTTTGCATTGCTGCTGTTGTGGTATATCTGTTTGTGACCACAAGAAAGGGCTGCGATTTAAAATGAATATATATATATATATATATATATATGGATAAAAATGGAGAAATGTAATTATACACAATAGTGGAGAGTCTTACTAGTCACACAGAACTCTTTGGTGACAAGGGAGCAGGACTTAGGTTTAGGATACAAATAACATAAAATCCCACCACAGTTCTAGCAATATTAATTTCTACTATGAACAGGATTATCTGAGTAAAAGAATTTCATGGTGGTAAAGTATATGCATAAACATAAATGAAAACAAATACACCTTTACTAAGCTATCCATCAGGTACCTGAACAGTCTCATCAAGTCACAATATTTGCAAGCAAAATCTTAACTGAATACAGCTTTTCCTCAAAGAGAAAACTTTTCTCAAAGTATATTTCCACAGAGCCCTATGAGACAATGGGATGCCCATGGAAAAGGTTCCTGTGGTCAAACATTCTGGAATTAATGCACACTGCAATCTATGTGCATCCAGATAATCACTCGAATGGGAAATGAGAATAAAGAGATTTTCTAATATACAAGGATTCAGAATATCTACCTCTAATTCAGCCATTCTCAGGAAGTGATTAGAGAATGTCTTCTACCAAAATAAAGGAGTATATTAAAAAATACGAAGACATGGGATACAAAAACCCAATTTCATGATATTTAAAGCATATTTTTGATGGTATAAAACCATATTGGTTCAGAGTAGACCAGAACTGGAGCTGAAATGAGTAATTTAAATAAGGTTTTTCACTTTAAAAATTCCACTGTTATAACTTAGATAAATCTAATACTTCCTTTTCCTGAGGAAGACAGTAATTGGTTGAGAAAAGGGGAAATGAAACTCCATAAACAGGTCTAGAATGATATCCACCATACTCTGAGAAGGGCCTGGGATTGGGAATAGTGATCAAGAGGAACTTTAGTTATATCTGTACTGGTTGAATTTTTGTAAGGAGAACATATTTTTGTATTACATGTGTGAATAAAAATAAATTAAAACATTATAGTAATTAATTAATAAATTTCAATCCAAGAGCTTAAAGAAGAGTTGATTCTGATTAAAACTCAATAAAATAAATAACCAAATAAAAATAAGAAATTCCACACATATAAAATTTGAAATAAGGAAGGAGATATAACCACAGATGCAAAGAAAATTAACTTATATTTCCCTCGGAGACACCTCAGCTGCCAATCTCCCACTCCAACTTCCGAAACAGGCATAAGACGCCTGGCCAAGTTTGAGATTTGATCAGCACTACAACTATACGGACCTGCCTCCAACGTCAGTGATATAACTGGGGCTTTCAATGAACTAACTAATTTTTTAGGCTGATGTTCAATCCTGGAGCTAGTTCCTATCAACGTAACCGAGAGAGACAGAGCCCAGCTGATCACAAGTGGGTAGGAGCACGCCTCAGGCTTCATTAGGCAAGAGCTCTTTAATGATAGTGCAATATCCCTAGCATGGGATATTAACCAATTGTTTAAAATGCTGATGTTCATCTATATTTAGTGATATAGAAAAACATCAAATACATTATTAAGTGAGGGGAAAAAGATTACAAAACATGATATAATCGCCATTCTACTATCTGTTTCTGTGAGTTCTACTTTTTCTTTTTTTCAAAAAGATTTCCCATAGTAGTGATTCCATACAATATTTTTCTTGGTCTGGCTTATTTCACTTAGCATAATGCCCTCCATTTATCATTATTACAAACTATTGGCTCTATTCCCTGTGTCATAGTATATATCCTTGTAGCTTATTTATTTTATACATAGTAGTTTGTACCTCTTAATCCCCTTTCCCTATCGTGCTCCTCCCCCCTTCCCTCTCTCCACTGGTAACCACTAGTTTGTTCTCTATATCTGTGAGTCCGCTGCTTTTTTGTTATCTTCACTAGTTTGTCGTATTTTTTTAGATTCCACATATAAGTGATATCATACAGTATTTGTCTTTCTCTGTCTCACATATTTCACTTAGCATAATACACTCCAAGTCCATCCATGTTGCTGCAAAGGGCAAAACTTCATTTTTCAATGACTGAGTAGTATTCCATTGTGTATATATATATATATATTCCATTGTATATATGTATGTATGTATGTATGTGTGTATATATGTGTATATATATATATATATATATATATATCCATCTGTTGATGGACACTTAGGTTGGCAATTGTAAATAGTGCTGCTATGAACATTGGGGTACACATCTTTTTTTTCAATTAGAGTTTTCTTTTTTTTTTTTTTGGATATATACCCAGGAGTGGAATTGCTGGGTCATACAGTAGTTCTATTTTTAGTTCTTTGAGAACCCTCCATACTGTTTTCCATGGTGGCTGCACCAATTTGCATTCCCACCAATATTGTGTTAGCCTTTCATTTTTCCACTTCCTTGCCAACATTTGCTATTTGTTGTCTTTTTGATGATGGCCATTCTGACAAGTGTGAGGTGATATCTCATTGCGGTTTTGATTTGCATTTCTCTGATGATTAATGATGGTGAGCACCTTTTCATGTGCCTCTCAGCCATCTGTAAGTCTTCCTTGGAAAAATGTCTATTCAGGCTTTCTGACCATTCTTTAAATTGGGTTGTTTGTTTTTTTGATGTTGAGTTGTGTGAGCTGTTTACATATTTTGGATATTAACCACTTGTTGGTCATATCATTTGCAAATATTTTCTCCCATTCAGTAAGTTGTCTTTTTATAAAAATATTTATTTATTTGGCTGCATTGGGTCTTAGTTTCAGCATGTGGGATCTTTTGTTGTGGCAGGCGGGCTTCTCTCTAGTTGTGGCGCATGGGCTCTAGAGCACACATGGGGTTAGTTGCCCCGTGGCATGTGGGATCTTAGTTCCCTGACCAGGGATCGAACCCACATCCCCTGCATTGGAAGGCGGATCCTTAACCACTGGACCACCAGGGAAGTCCCAGTAGGTGGTCTTTTTGTTTTTGTTTTGTCGACGGTTTCCTTTGCTGTGCAAAAGCTTTAAGTTTAATTAGGTCCCATTTGTTTATTTTTGCTTTTATCTCCTGTAAGAGACAGATCCAAAAAAATGTTGCTACTATTTATGTCATAGAGTGTCTCATCTATGTTTTTTTCTAGGAGTTTTATCGTATCTGGTCTCACATTTAGGTCTTTAATTTATTTTGAGTCTATTTTCGTATATGGTCTTAGAGAATTTCTAATATCATTCTCTTACATGTATCTGTCCAGTTTTCCCAGCTCTACTTATTGAAGGGACAGTCTTTTCTCCATTGTATATTCTTGCACCCTTCGTTGTAGATTGACCAGAAGTGTGTGGGTTTATTTCTGGGCTCTCTATCGTGTTCCATTGATCTATATTTCTGTTTTTTGTTTTGGCTATTCATTATCTTTTGTGTTTACATATAGATTTAAAAATTTTTTGTTCTAGTTCTGTGAAAAATGCTATTGGTAATTTGATAGGGATTGCATTGGATCTGTAGATTGCCTTGGGTAGTAGAGTCATTTTGACAATATTGATTCTTCCAATCCAAGAACATGGTATATCTTTCCATCTGTTTGTGTCATCTTTGATTTCCTTCATCATCATCTTATAGATTTCTGAGTACAGGTCTTTTGCCTCCTTAAGCAGGTTTATTCCTAGGTATTTTATTCTTTATTATGTGATTGTAAATGGGATTGTTTCCTTAATTTCTCTTTCTGATAGTTTGTTGTTAGTGTATAGAAATGCAACAGATTTTCTGTATATTATTTTTGGACCCTACAACTTTACTGAATTAATTGATGAGCTCTAGTAGTTTTTTGGTGGTGTCTTTAGGATTTTCTATGTATAGTGTCATGTCATCTGCAAATAGTGATAGCAAATAGTGACAAAGAGTGACACCTGTTGGTGGGTGAAGCTGGTCCCAAGGCTAGAGCAGGCTCACTGGAGGGCAGGGCCAGAGTCCAGGGGATTCTGGGGCTGGTGCCTGCCCACTGGTGGGTGAAGCTGGGTCCCAGGGTCTCTGGCTGGGGGTCGCTGGGGGTCCCGGGTCTGGTGCCTGCACACTGGTTTGTGGGGCAGATCCTGTGCCCTCTGGTGGACAGGGCCATGTCCAGGGGCAGCTGTGGGCTCAGGGGATCTTAAGGCAGCCTGTCTGTTGGTGGGTGGGGCTGTGCCCATGCCCAGTTAGTTGCTTGGCATGAGGTGTCTCAGCACTTTTGCCTACAGGCAGGGATGGGTCCTGAGGCTTATAAGCTAGAGGGAGGATTTCACAATGGTGCTTACCAGCACCAGTGTCCTCCTGGTAGAATCAGCTCCCCAAATGGCTGCCACCAGTGTCTGTGTCCCCAGGGTGAGCTGCAGTTGCCTCCTACCTCTCTGGGAGACTCTCCAGATCAGCAGGTAGCTCTGACCCAGGCTCCTATTACTGCTTCTGCCCTGGATCCCGGAGCATGTGAGAGTTTGTGTACGCCCTTTAAGAGTACAGTTTCTACTTCCCACAGCTCTCTGGGACTCTCGGGCGTGAGCCCTGCTGGTCTTCAAAGCCAAATGCTCTGGGGGCTCATTTTCCCAGTATATGACTCACAGGCTATGGAGCCCAACATAGGGTCAGACCCCTCTCTCCTTGGGGAGAACCTCTGCAATGGTACTTATCCTCCTGTTTGTGGATTGTCCACCTGGGTTTATGGAACTTGCCTATATTGCGACTCCACCCCTCCTATCCATCTTGTTTGTTCCTTCTTCATACATTAGTTGTAGAAGATCTTTTCTGGTACATTCCAGTCTTTTCCA